GATGTTCAGGAAGCTACGGTTTCTGTAGTGTGTGTTCATCGGTGTGGCGAAGGCGCGGGCGATGTCGTGCAGGAGTTTGAACTGCTCCGTGATCATAGCCGAGTTTGTCTTCCATTGGCTGCAGGATTTCCAAAGAGCTGGTCTGTTTCGATCACGGTTGAACATCGAGTAGGCTTTGTGTCCGATGTTTGCGATGTTGCGCAGGGCGCTCTTGACTCGCGTCGAAGGAGGACAGGACGATGGCGTGGACGTGGACGTCAGGTACTCCAAGCAATTCTTCCTGACTCGCTGCATTTCTTTGAAATCCTAGAAGGCCTTTTATTTAAGCTGTTTGTGCGGGTTTTTACCATTTGTTGGTTAATTTATAAAATTTTCATTTTAGTAGCAATCGAAATATAATGCATCAACGCTGTCTGTAGTTTAATGAGATACGGTAAACCGGATGATAAGCAAGAAACCTTATTTCGCGCATTAATACTGAATTTATTCAGTGTATGTGCCCCTCCTTGAGGTCCTACGCGCCTAAGAGCCATTTAAGCAGGCACGACTTCCGTACTGTAAATACCATTAAACACTATGCATTAGGTTGCTTTGTTCAATAACGCAAGACCAGATTGGAAAACTTCTTTCGCCTAGCAGCTTAGGGGCCATTTAAGTAAGCCAATGCACCGTGATGTTTGAGCCCCTGCAGTGCCAGACGCTTGTTGCGTCATTTTGTCCGCCAGCGCCACCTCGCGTTCATCACGAACGATGTTTCAGGAGCCAATATTCCATTCGTTAAATGTTATGACATATTTATCAAAGTATAGTCGTAAGCTGGTGCATACCAATATACGTATATCTTTTCCAAGACCAGGTTTCACGGCGTATTGCAGTGTCTCCGTGTTACTCTGTTCGTTAATATTTACTCTTTATGGTGGTAAATTTATTTGATGTTCGGACGGACTCTTTTCTATTTCAAGGCACTGATACAGTGATATACCCCATGCACTGGGGTGCCAAGTATCATAGAGCCATGGCCTGTTGAAATTTTTGCTAAGCGTCTAGAAGCAAGGGGACTTACGTTTACACAGGGTAAATTCAGCATTAGGAATTGAGGTAAGTTTTGGGTTTACCGCCCGCTAAAATAGCGCCACTAGAAGCAGTTGCATATCTTTGGCATTTTCTCGCGTCACACGTGCATGTGTTAATGAATCTGCGACATTAAAATAATAATAAGTTCCTGATTTGGCGATATGGATATAATGCCCTGGTTGAAAACACGTGCAAAACAAGTTTTGGCGTAGGACCAAGCTTCTGGCTGATGTTACCTGTAATTATTAACGGCAAACAGTTTCATTGTACTTTTCATAAAGTAATAATCCTTTTCATAAACTTCTGGCATTTCTCTTAGCTGCCATGCGCGAAAGTTCAACGTTCAGCGTTCTACGCGTAAAATGCAGTGTAAACTTGTAGGAATCCACAATGGAAGAAAGTATGTACTTAACAACTGAAGAATGAGAGATTCTACTCCGATATCTAAACTCTGGATCACGTCCAGACGTGTGAGCTTAGCCATTCGTCTCAGAAAGCCCATTTGAACCGCAAGTAGATGGAACCGAATTTTTCATTCTTGGCCTACGATTCACGACCATGAATGAGCATCCGGATAATGATGGACTTTAAATAAAGACAACTTAGTCTTCAGACTCACATCCTACTTAGTCACAACGGTTCCGACTAGTTGCGCAGGAAGTCGCTGGTCACTACAGTACGCCGGTCGATCTCTCCTTCCCATTTCCCATCACTGGTTAACACGGCCTCCAGGAAAGTGACTCTCTCCACTTGCTGCTGTACTTTCCTACCGTTTAGTCGCAGAGCGCAACGAACAGTAAAATGATAAAGCGCTGGGCGGGCATATTATGTCAGACGTGCTCACTCGTATGCCGACCACGTCACACTCGGTCTCGATTCTTTCCAGAGAGCGTTGAAGATTGCAACAAAAGAAGGTCGCCTGCAAGCAGCAGGCATCTCCACGTCGTCTCTTACGGTGACATACTCGTTGCTTTGGCTGCGCCTCACTACTCTACCCATGAACAAGAGAGAGGGGGCAGAAGGAAGCTTTGACGCGAACCAGTGCTAACGTCGAAAAGTCCCCATTTAACGCTATTCACTCTAATGTGGCACATACTATCGACAGACCGAAATGTTTGTAACAATTGGTCATCGATTCAAAACATCCTCAGGCGCCCCATAACTTGCCTCATGGAACCCACTCATAGACTTTCTCGAGGTCAGAAATGCACGTGTAAACCGAATGGGCGACCTCCCACAGTTTCTCGACAATCTGGCGCAAGGCAAAGATCTGGTCAGAGATTCGTTGTCCCGATCTGAAGCCACACTGCAACTTTCGTATCTAAAGATCAGTTATTATGTGACAGCGCGTTTCTAAGAACTATGTGTTCGATTTTTCCGGAATACCGTATAAGGAAATGCCCTGATAATTTGAGAAGTCCAAATGTTTTTCGTTCTTGAACAGGGGTACTACCACTCCAATTTTCAATCCTACGAATGTATTCTCCGTAGGCGAACAGACCAGACAGGTGTCGGCCACAATTTACGTTGTTCGCCTTCAGCTTTAGGCATCTTAGAGGGGATTTTATCGACTCCACCAGTCTTGCTACCTTAAGGTTTCTGTGACATCATCTGAAACGACAGACAGCCGATGTATGATGCTCTTTAGGCGAGTTTTCCCGAGACATCTCCAGGCGCTTTCTCCAAATCCGAAAAGTGAAAAGATGTGATTGGAATGAACTACTCTAGTGACATGAACGCTAACGGCATGAAATTGTTGCGGTTTTGTGCAAACAACGGACTCACGGTTATGAACACCTTCTTCGAGCATCGAAGAGTGCATCAGTATACCTGGTACAGGGAAGCTTGTGCATATAAGTCTTTTGTCAAAAGTTTCACCTAGTATTTGGAACCCTCCATTGCTAATGGTGAGGTATCAGGCGAAGACCTGGCGGCATGAGCAATCAGGTAGTAAACAACTTCTGCGGATTCGAGGACAAATTTGTAAACAACATCGCTTGAACAGATTCCATGATGACGCCTGATGTGGATATTGGGTGAAAGCTATTTGAAACGGCTAACTCGGGGGACATTGCCCGAAACGATGGCTTAAAATAAGTCATCCTGCCGTTTGGAAGTCAGTACCAGCTTCCTGATAGATACGAGAGATTCAGTTTGCTGTCAGCGAGAGGAAGACTGCATTGGACAGTTGACTTGTTAGCAAACAGACATCAATTGGATCGCGGCACGAAGACGCGCACAGGCAACAGCGGAAAAGTCACCAAAAGGCCAGCTGATTCCTAGGAAGAGTTCGATGAGGTGCTGAAATCGAATTTCTGGACGGTAAACAATGTGTCCTGGATGATCATCCACCGTCTTTCAGATGGAAGAAGAGCAGTCTAGGAGACCTGAATGACACGTCTTGACGCCTTCCCATCAAGTATGAAGATATACTTCAGTGATGGACAAAATACTTTGAGGAAGTCTTTGACAGCAGGCTATCACAGTAAGATCAATGGGCAACACATACCAATCTTTTGGCAGCAAGGTCACAGAAGCCATCGAAAGTTAGAAAAGTGGCAAGGCTGCTGTGATCGATGAAATCCGGCTGATGCGTTCTGTAAAACTGCAATGGCCACGGGAAAGACACCAATGGTCTGGAGAACGTGGATTTCAGTGACCCTGTTTGAAAGGAAAAATCACGGGAGTGTTTCAATTATCAGGTCGTTACTTCATTGATACTTCCGGCTAAAGTCTACGCAAAGGTACTAGAACGTAGGTGCCGCAGAATAACTGACTCTATCGTATATGAACAGCAATATGGCTTCCGGTTGTGCAGCAGTACTTCTGACAGCATGTTCCCCTTAGGCCGATTTTTGAGAGTTCGCTAATCTTGTTTAAATGTGCCTTGTGGACCTTGGGAAAACATATGACCAGATCCAACGCAACAAACTGTGAGTGGGATTGCAGACATACGGAACCGATGGCCCGTTGTGCAAGCCATTCAGTCACTATATGTTGATAGCGGATATTGTGTTAGAGTAAAAGGCGTATAGTGGTGACCCCTCTTCAACATTAGCTCTGGTCTACGCCAAGGCGGCGTTCTGTTCTCTCTTTGGCTTGTGAGGTACATGGATAAAGTAATGAGACGCAACCAAGTCTAAGTGTATCAACGAAGGAGATATATGGATTACTGTTTGCAGATAACCTTGTTTTCTTGGCATGTTCTGAAACTGATCTCCAGCACTGTGGAAAGGCATTCAGCAGAGTTGTACGTAATGGGTACGCATGTGAACTTGTGCATTATCATTCTTTTGCCCGTTCCGCTCTTCACTAACGACAAGCAGTGAGGATGACAATATCGTGTTTACTACTAATGGTCGTGTTTACTACTAACTTCGAGGTCGTGTTTACTACTAATGAAAAACAGAAGTAAGGGATCGACTCTTATTTACAGTGGCCTGCAGCTTCTTGCATGACGCAGCCTGAACCGTCATGAGTAAATAAGGGCTAAGTCTTAAGGCTAAACTCTCATTGCTCAAGTCGATCATCATCCCGATGCTCAC